ATGACGCTTCCCAGGTGTTCGCCACCGGTCACAGCAACGGAGGGAGTATGACATTTCGTTTGGGAGCAGAGATGTCGGACCGACTGTCCGCGATTGGTACTGTTGCCGGAATGCTTGCGATCGAAAAACCCAAGCCGGCAAAACCTCTGCCGATGCTCTATATTTATGGCACCGAAGACCCATTACTGCCGCTAGACGGCGGCGAGTCGACACTTCCGTGGGGCACGCGGACGACGCCTGCGGTCGAGAGTTTCCTGAAGACGTGGGCTGAAGCGAGCAGTTGTGCTTCAGAGCCGAAAGTCGTTGCGGAAGATGACGCGATCAAAAAGGTCCGCTATCCTTCAACGAACAACGGACCGGAAGTAACCGTTCTCTACTTGAAAGGGCATGGCCATTCCTGGCCAGGCGCCAATCGAAGGATCCCGTCCAGTATGACGGGACCCAACGTAAGTAAATTGAATGCGACCGACGAATTATGGTCGTTTTTCAAAAAGAGCGTCGAGTAAACCGATACGCTTACTCGTGACCTGCGGAAGATCCGCTCTTCTTTAAGCCAGCCAGGAATTCAACCAGGTCGCGGAGTTCTGCCTTCGAGAGATGCTTGTAGATATCTTCCGGCATTGGGCTCTTGGCACTCTTGCGACCTTCGATGTCGTCCTGCGGAATAGTGATCAACTTGCCGTCGGCATCCACCAGGTTCACCGCTTCGTCTGTCTCTTCTTTGAGCACGCCGGAATAGGTTTGGCCGTCGACAGTCAGCACGAGAATCGACTCGAACCCTTCGGCAATCTTGGCATTTGGCTGGACGACTGCTTCCAGCAAATACTCACGCGTCTTGGTTTGACCCAGCGCGTCCAGTTCTGGGCCAACACGTCCGCCGGTGCCCATAGCACGATGGCAACGCACGCAGGAGGTTTCGGTCTTCTCGTAGAAAATCTTGCGCCCTCGGTCGAAATCGCCACCGGAAAGTGCGACTCGGTATTCGGCAAGTGGATCGGCTGGATCAAGCGACAAACGATACTTCTCCAATAGCGACGAGATCGCTTCGGAGTCTTTCAACGCCGTTGCCGCTTCGATTACGTCAAGTCGTGTGTCTTCCGGCAAGTCGCCCGAAAGCAGTTTGGTCATCGCGGCCGAAACGATTTCGTCCGTTCCTTCCGGCTTCAGTTTGGCTAATGTCGCCAGAGCGTTCTGGCGTTCGACCGTTGAATCGGCTGAGATACCATCGGCCAGCGTCTTCGCAGCCTCCGCAGGAGCCAAGCGGGCAACTTGATCTCGGGCAACCGCTCGCAGAACTGCCTGATCCGATTTCAACGCTTCGCGGACGATCGGCAAAGCTTGATCGGCGTCGACATTTGCCAACGC